TGTGGTTGTGGGTGTGAACAGAAGTTCTACTTGCATTAACTGACAAGCACAGTCACTGATATACTCTCTTGTTGACTTTTGGTTGCGACGCTCCTCAGTTTTAGCTGCAAAAGTTGACTGGATCCTTGTATCAAGATCCGTATCAGATCTTGTCTAAAATTTGATAAAATCTTGAGAGAATCCTCTCCATTATCTCTGTTAGGATTCTAAGTAGGATCATGAATGAATCCTTTGAAGGATCTTGTATTCATGATCTACAAATACATCTGGCCAGATCCGGAAAGAAATCCTAAACAGGATCCTGTATAACTATGAGAAATCCTGGCAGCAGGAATTATCAGGAACTAAGCCGGGATCCTGAGGAAAACTTGATAAGATCTTGGAGACTTAGAATCCTGACAGATCCTTGCAAAATTTCTCAAGAAATGAACAGGATTGAGACTAGGGGTCTGTTTGCTATTAAAAGTGATGATCGGAGGAGGGTAGCTTCGCGGAGGTGTCCGTACTTCCCCTCAGAAGTTTCCAAAATCACAAATACTCGAAACTTCCCAATTATTCATAAAAACTGATGACCAGGTGGGAGACGGTAGCTTCCCGAAGGTCCTCCTACTCCCCCTCAGGGATTTTCAAAATTTCGAAAAAGTTCCCGTGACTGACCGTGACCAAGCTCCAGTCACGGTCACGGTCACGATCTTTGAAAAAAGTCACGCACGGTCACGGCCGTGACCGTGACCGTGACTCACTGGTAGTCACGGCAGTCACGCCGGGCACTACTCTCGACCGAGATATTGTTGAGACTAAACTGTGTAGAAAATTTCATCGCGATCGGATTCTGCTTTCAAAAGTTATCGTGTAAACGGCCGGACGGCCGGACACACTGACCGATTCTAGAGTCTATGAACTTTTTGAGTACACAAAAAGTGTACTCATCTATATTTTTATTTTAGTAGCCAAAAAACTGAGCTTGGCCAGTGTTTTTTACTGATGTTTTTCAGAGGCAGGACTTTCAATAAATTTGCATTTGTGCAAACTTGAAATTCGGAACAACAGCATCTGACTGCATCATCGGAGAGACTACATTGAAATGCATATGTCTAGACACACAAATTGCTGCAAATAGAAAAAACTTCTACGAAAAAAAGAATAGAAAAGTAAAAAACTGTCTGTTCTTATAATTTTGAGCAGTACTGTAAGATAAGTTTGAATGTTGATAGAATTTGAAATATATATCTATGATAAAATAAAATTTCGAGATTATATTCGTTATAATTTCTGCACATACTAAATAAAGAAAAAAGTTTGTTTTATCTTAAAGAAACCGAGTCTCGAATTGTCTATTTACATATTTGTTATCAATTAGAGATAATTCTTCTGTCACATGAATTATTTCAAATATGTGTTCAATTGGAAAGAGTAGAAGAAGTATTATATTGATTTCACGAAAAAATGTTTTCATTCGATTGAAATTAGACTGTACAAAATCATTTCTATTTGTCTTTTAGACAGAAAGATTTCGACATGTCGATGAAACGATTTTCATATCCGATTGAGTGAAAATTAAAAATAAGACACTAAAATATTTTACACATTTATTTCAATGACATGAATTTTTATCACTTAGTTATGATAAAAAACTACATCTTGATGTTTTATAATAAATGATTTATATTACTGGAATATATTCAAATCAATGAAAATAAACTGAGAAGTTGTCAATAAATGAAATGAATTTTTGAGATTTATCATAACTGAAAAATAAGATCGAAAGATAAAAGTGTATAAGATTTGAAAAGAATCATTCACAAATATTGTTTAAGTGTTGTTGTTCGTGTTCCTCTTCCAATTTGTAAATTGTGTAGTGTCCATATATAGAGCAATTGAATAATTTCATCAGTAAATGATTGACTACATTGTACTTTTTCAATTAGAAACTGTCGAAATTCATCAGGTGTTTTATGAATTAAATAACGGCCAATTAAATCAGTCATTGTCAATATATAACATGAACGAAGACGATCTAAATCAGTATCATTTCGTTTTGACAATGGTAAATGACGTATCTAAATAAAAAAGTTTTTTATTTAATATAAAAAAAAGAAAAGAAAATATAATCCACATCACGATTGCATATATGACTAAAAGGAAAATTTTCAGATGTTAGTAAATCACTTTGATTATCTTTTAATACTAAATGAAAATTAGTTGGTAGATTTTTTTCTTGATTATTATTTTTTGATGTTGATAAAGATAAAATTGCATTTCTATTATTATTATTTTCTGATAAAATCAAAAGAGATTCTTTTTTAGATGATTTATTAATTTTTTTCTTGGAAGATTTTGGCATTTGTTTAATAAGTAATAGGATATAATTCATTTGAGCATCGATTTTAGTTAATAATGACATTATATCGACAAAATTGAAAGAAAAGATACAATTTGCATTTTAGAATTAGCGCTAATATATATATATATAGATATTCATCAATATGATTATTTATATAAATATTATTTTTTTTTTATAAAAATATAAGACATATTGGTTCTCATTTATTTCTGTTATTCAATTAAAAAATGAATATCAAAAGATTTCTTTTCAAAGAAATAAACTCAATTATTATAAAAGAACTATGAACATGCTAATGAAATTTTTATTTTTTTCAAGTATTCATCTCGAATCCAAATTAAAAAAAGATGAAGAAAAAGATTTTAAAACAATAATGTTAGAATTATAAAGAAAAACATATTCTGTGGCTATTGAATTGAAACAAGCATTTACAAGTATTGCATATCATATGAAGAAACAGAGAAATTTAATCAACAAAATGATCGACAAAATGAAATACACTAGGCGTAACTGTCGCGATAATTCTAGTGGATTAATGTTGTCAGAAAGTTGAAATATCAATGTTTTCAAACAAGTATCTATAAATGTGATATTTCTTGTCCGAAATGTAAATAGTTGTTGTTTGTTAGAGAAGCTTATACTTTTTGAAGAGTTAAGGTTTTTTTTTCTGTAAAAGTTGTTAATTGTATTGTTGCATAAAAATAGCACAAATAGAAACTTTTCTATAAAATCAATTCTGAGATTTTCTCTTGAAAATAATAATGTAAGTGACAATGTTTAGTGTGAATAAATCAAACCTATTTCTGTTATCTGTGTGAGTGTTGAAAGGAAATTCAAATCTAGGGCAAATGAAAACTATAGGGTGTGGCTGTGGAGATCTGAATCTGGTTTTGAGTGTTGGTGAAGCGAAGACTCACACTCTAGAATCTTAATGCACTCTTCAGGGATTTTTTTAAAATTTTTTTGCTATATAGATGTTACATATGTGATTGTGGTCAATTTGTTCACACCTTAGTTGAATAAATTTTTCTTGCACATTAATATTTTATCTATCTACTAAACAAATTTTAAAAAAAAAGGAGTAAATCAAATTATCCGCATTCATTTAACGTAAGACTTAGATTGATAAGAAATTACGTCATAAAAAAATGTTACTCCCATTATTTATAATAGAGCGTTAGTCAGAAGCAATTCAGAAGATAATTCTTTGCATTAGAATCTATTTTAATTGTTATGATCTCGTATTGTATCAAGATGAGGTAAAACGATAGTTGATTTTGATCTACAAACTAGAAAATCTTTGAGAAGAATTTTTTCTCGTTTTATTTCAATTATTCATAAAAAGAAGAAAAGGTGAGAGGTACTTTTTGTCGTGAAGACTTCAGCAAATGCATATCTAATGTGGTATACTACAATATGAAGTTAGGTTATTCGAAGAAATTATTTATTTCATATTGGTTAATTAAATGATTGAGAACGAAAATGAAATTAGAAATGATATTTTAAGAGTGTTGAGAAAAGGATAATGTCTATGAATGAAGAAGCAATATATGCATTTTTTTCTCATAGGAAAACAAATATAAGTACAAAGAAGCATTTCGTAGAAACATAAAAATTAAATCGAAAAATTTTGAGATAAATGTTTTTTTTTTTAAGAATCGCATATTAATTCGACATTTGTTGGATACTTATATCAAATTTTTATTGAATGAGATGTTTTATATTGAAATCTTTATTAATTTCTCCTATTTAGTTTTTTTATTTTGATGGTACATTCATAGATACTTTCATTTTCTTCTTTTTTTTATTTAATATTACTTCTTATCTTTTTTCATTTGAACTTAAATATTTATAAAATTTTTCTCTAATAACTTTATTGACTATACTTACTATAAAGCTCCATGTAAGTCTTAAAAATGATCATACTCTATTCAATTTCGAATAAATTATTTGGAAATTCATTTATTGATGCAAATAAATAAACCTTTATTTCAAATATAAATATATAGAATAGAATTTCTATTATGACTTATATTAGCCTAAAAGTTTTTCAATGATCTATAGCAACAGATAAGAAAAGTTCTAGAAAAATAATTTTCTCTTCTTTTCATCTTCTATCATTTATGAAATATTATAATATTGATTTATATCATTTCCTATTTTAATATTTGTTTTATGTATAAGAGAGTGATAGAAAAGTGAAATAGCTGTTACAAGATGACAGCTAGTCGACAAGAAGGATGCTCATTACTAATAGGGTTCATTATTTTTTTTTTGAAAAAAAAGTGTTTTCCATTTCTAAAAGTTCTCTGACATCGTTGGATCACTGGTAGTGAAACAGTTTGTATACAAATTTAGAAAGAAAAACGTATGAAATCGAAATTAAGTTATTATATTCATCAATACGAAATACTGTCTGCACACAATACTTTTATATTAATTTAGACTAATTTAGCCCATTAGAAAACGATAGAGCACTAGGTACCATATTCAAATATCTAGATCATTTTGCAGCGATGCTTCTTTGCATCTATGATCGATCGCAGTAGAGAGTATAAGACATTTAGTTACTCTCGTCTAAAAATATAAAAGATCCATATGAACTAACTGAACTGTTAATTATCAGTCAGTTCACTTCACTCGAATGGAAGCCTATTTTAACTCAGGTTTGCAACACGACTTACGTGACCTTAAATAAAAGTCTCGCAAACCAATTGCATATGGTAAACGGAGGACTCTATAGCTCAACTTATAAAAAAAGAGTTTATTATCAGTTATTTGATTCGGTTCTTACGAATCGTTGAGCTGTGAGCTATCGCACGCCTAATCATTCACTTTATTATAGACTTTAACTCTACTAGATATAAATTAATCTCATAGTGTTGGTGATAATATTGTCAGTCGAAAGTCGTTTCATGATTGAAATATGATCTGTTTTATTTCAATCATAAATTCCTATAACATATGATTGAAAAAGAGATGATAAATAAAGAATAATCGAGTGTTCGATTTACGATCAAGCACCGTTTAAAAACCTTGTAGTCTAGAATGATGACAAAATAAAACTTGAGTCATTTCATTTGGTGAAAGTTTCAGATCTAATAAAATTTTTTTTCAAGATGAACAAAATTTTGCTTGGTTGTATGTTGCAATGTTTTTTCGAGAGACATATCAAAAGTAATGAAGATTTTATATATATGAGACTGTGAATCAAAAATGTTTTTTAATTTGACAATATATATCATTTCCTTTTTTTTTTAAGTGGAAACAAAATTTACATTGAATACTATATTAGTTTCTCTCTACTTTTTTTTCATAAAAATAATCTTTCTTTACTTAATGCTCATAGAGAATTTCTATATGTATTCATTAAAAACACTTGAAATTCTATTCTATTTTGTTTTTCTTTAGAATGCAGATAATCAAATCCAATTTTCACTTCAGTTTTCTCATTCTTATCGGATGTATTTTGAGACCATCTCAACATCAAAGTATTTCTAGTGATTGGCAATCATCAGCGAATTTATCCAGTAAAGGTTTTGAATTTTCTCCTATTGATGAACAAGCTCTCCTATTGTTCGACATCATTGCTAAATCATTGATTTCTTGTGTTAAAATATGTCATTCAACTGTACCTTGTTACATATTTGATTTCGATGATCAATCACATCGTTGTCGTATCTTCGAAGGTAATATAACTACTATGGGTTCAATTGTTGCTTCTTCATCTTCTCAATCTCGTGTCGGATCAATAAAACTCTATCCAGAACAATTTACTAACCTAGGACAATCATGTTCATTTTGTCAAAGAAGTAAATATTTGACATGTATAAATAATACTTGTCTATGTCCAGCACATACATATTTTAATGGATTGATTTGTCAAAGTCAAAAATTACTTGGAGCTAATTGTACTATTGATGGAGAATGTCGTCTAGATCTTAATTATATATGTTTACCACGTCAACAATGTGGCTGTAAGTATTCTTAATTTTTATGATAATCTATAATTAGTAAACTGTTTAATATTATTAATCATAGTAAATAAAGATTTAATAAGACATATGAGAATCTTGTTCAATGAAGTGTGCTTAGAGGTGTTAAAATACGATCGATATATATTCATTTTTCTAATAGAATCTGATTTATACAATAATGATCATTTATTTTTATATTACAGTTGCATCAATGCAGACTGGAACTATTGTTGGCGGCTATGGTAATGGTACGGGAGGAAGTACTCTTGATGCTCTTCAATATCCGACAGGATTAGCAATGGGAATTGACAATTCACTATACGTTTCTGATTATCTAAATCATAGAGTAATTAAATTACAACAAGGATCTTTAATGGGTTCAATCGTTGCTGGTACAGGAGTAGCTGGTAGCAATCTCAATCAATTGAATGGACCAACAGGTTTATACGTTGATACATCATTAAATATCTACATTGCTGATAGTAAGAATTTTCGAATAATGTTTTGGCAAAGAGATTCATCAATTGGTGTTAAAGTTGCGGGAACTGGCGTTTCTGGAAATACACTAAACAGTTTTTCTACTGTAGTTGGTTTGTCTGTTGATTTACAAGGAAATATTTATCTTTGTGATTCTTTTAATCATCGTATAATGAAATTTACACCAAACTCTAGTGATGCTATAATTGTAGGAGGCACTGGTGTAGCCGGAAATAGTAGTTATCAACTTAATACACCCTGTGGTATCTACTTCCAAGACCTTAATTCGTATCTCTACGTTGTTGATAGTAACAATCATCGAATTCAACGTTATAATGTAGATGTATCAACGAATGGTACGACAGTTGCTGGTGGAAACGGAGAAGGATCAGCAAGTAATCAGTTAAATTCACCATATTCTGCATGCGTTTCGAAAATAACTAATGCTATCTATATTAGTGATTCCGGCAACAATCGTATACAACGTTGGCGTTCTGGAGCGACAAGTGGAGTAACTATAGCAGGAAATGGTACATTGATTAATAGTTATTCAACATCGCTAACAGGACTTATGGACGTTAGATTAAGCAATAATGAGAATTATCTATTTGTAAGTGAAATGTATTACAGTAGAATATGGCGTTTTCAACTCATTTAACAAACTTTTAAATTTCATACATATATATATGTAATGGGTGGTGCAAAATAAAATAGTCACTTTTGTCCTATGTAATTGAGACACTTTTCAGTAGTCTAAGAAGTTGGTTCTAGGACTCATTCGACAGAGAATTTTCTACTCTACAAAATCCATCATTTTTTTCATTAGATATTATTTCATTATATTCTAAAAATAGTGCAGAATAAGGACAAGTAAAAAGTGAAACTACGATGAGAGGTAAAATCTCACGTTGCCCGAAAGTGTTAATTAACTTGTAAACTGAAATTTTCACAATTTAGATGAGGAGACGTAGAAGCAGTGCAATCTGAATGATAGCACCTAATCTGCTGGACACTTTTATAGCACCTTCTTCTCTCAATTACAATATTATTTCTCAAAAACCTACACAGAATCCGAAAACTCATCAAAATTTTAACACGAGATCGCAATTTTACTTTTTACCTATCCTTATTCTGCGCTATTGAAAAAGAATGATGGGTTTTGTAGAACAGAAAAATCTCTATCGAATGAGTCCTACAACCAACTCATTGGATCACTAGGAAGTATCTCAATTGTACAAGACAAAAGTGATCATTTGATTTTGTGCTATATATTATATGCGAAGAAACTGATTTTTTTTGTGATTGAAAGAGTTTTATTTGTTTTATGTATTCATTATATTCTGTTCAAGTTACTTTGTTTACTTGTATTTGAGTTAAGGTGTCCTAATTATTCTGCTTATATATTCGTACTTTTAATTTTCCTTTTCTTTGATGGAATTGTTCTTTATGTTATTTATCGTGATGTACATGAACATTGTAATTTATTCATAAAATAACATGAATAATTATGAAAATAACATGTAATCAATAGATATTATGATGTCTTCATAGATCAAACAAATTAAAATCTTTACAGATTTAATTTTTTCAATCATCGTATTCAGTTCCATTACATCGATAATTTGTTGAATAATATAGACTGCAGTGACTGAAAATTGTCAAGAATTTGGAAGTCATTAACAAAATTTACCTTGTGATATATCTGTATGAAAGAAAAGAAAAGTTATATTTCTTATTGACTACAATAATCATCGAATATATACTCTGTTCAATACTACTGATATATTGGTAAAAGAAATTGTGATACATTTGAACACAGATGATAACATCCACCTTGTAGGATTTCAATCACAATGTTTAGATCCTAGAGCAACAACTGTAGTCATCATAATAGATATTACAGGCTTGAATAGTAATATTGGAACTTTTTTTTCACATAGCTATAGCAACTATACGCTAAGTATAAATGATTATAGCTACCATTGATGAGAATGTTACAAGCTGGTATGATAGACTATTGTCTTGAATGTGAAATTATAATTTTAGTTTTTGAAAAATCTTATTTGACACTGTGTTTGTAATATTATTCATAATTGAAATAGATTGTCAGAAATTGAATTCGATACATTGTAAACATATTCAGAAATTCTTCAAAAACAATAGACGAAATTCCAATAGATGTATACTATTCAAAACATGAAAAACTTTCTTCCTTCCAATATTCTTTATCTATTATATAATTATTTTTCTATTTCTACTAGAATTCTTGGAGAACAAATTTTGTTGGTTTCTCGTTTCCGTAAATTTTTTGAGAATTCTGTTCCACCTTTTCCTAATTGAAAAACTGCTCCTACGATACATTGACAATTTTATGAGGTTATATTTCATATCGTACATAAAGTGTTCTTTTTTTGATTGTTATATATTGGCTTATTATTTTTGCAAAATCACAATCAATACAGATTAGAAATCAGACAAAAGCTATAAGTTCCATATATACAAATGCATATAAAAGTCAAAAAAAGTATGCTGATAGAGTTTTTCTTGTGTCGGTTCGATCTCATATTCGTATTCCTGGAGTTTTCTAGCTGAAACGAAAGAAACAATGTTTCCACTCACAGGTGTTTACTGATGTGTTGTTTTCTCTGCTGTCTTAGTATTATTGGCATGTCTTCTTGATATTTGACTTAACATTTATAAGTCTTGGTACCCTTCATCAACCATTGAGTTGTAAATATTCGTTGTTGTTTAACATATTTCACGTCTACTAAAAGCAGAACTGAATAAATATCGACTTCATTTCTCTTAGTTCAATTTTAAAGCTTCAATAAGCTGCTATGACATTATTGTTCTTTTAAATATTTTTCCATAAAAGCAGTATTTTTATTCGTTTCGATTAACTTTATTAAGAAAATAAAAAAAATACCACAAATAAAATTTTCTTTTGTTTTATTCAATTGTGTTTGATAATTTTGAAAAGAAACCTTATGGTTCTTTTTTCCTTTTTTTTCAAAATTCAAGAAAAAGTACAGAAACAAATAATAAAAAATACAAAGTAAGTTAAATGCCTTTTTTGTTCACTCATGTTTATTTAACAAGAAAAAAGTTCTGATTGAGTGAGTAATTAGTTTCATTTCTATGGAAGTACATTCAGAAAATACAGAACAACAGAAATAATGTACTTTCCTTTTCATTAACTGGTACAGCTGAAATCTGATTGAAAATTCATGACTTCACTGTTTTTAAATAAAAATACATTTCTATTTTAATTTCTTATTCCTCTTTATTCTAGGTAAATTTCTTTTAAACTTGATTACTCATTCAAAGATTTATCTTTAAATAACTTGAAAAAATAAGAATTAATTAGGTTTGACCAAAAGTTCTGTCATCATTAAATAAAAATATAAAGATTTGGAGATATTTTTAATTTTATTTTATAAAATGTTAAGGATAGTTGCCATGATTATTTATTTCAAGATCAATCTTTTCGAACAATTAATTAAAAGTTTTTTTTTGAACTCTTTTTCTGAAAAACTTTTTTAGCTACCTTGGAAATCGTATGAGCTAATTATGTTTCATTTGTTTTAAAAATTTAGCGAAATTTTCTTCGATTGTGTCAATTGCATTCTAGCATTACTCATGATGAGATATGGATTTATTTAAAATAGGATAGTTATAAGTCATCTAATGCTAACTGCCATATTGAAGACGAATCGTCAAAGACTATTGCTTATGGAGGCAGATTTCAATCAAAACTTTATTTTATATATTCTTTGAATGAAATAGTCCTGAGTGTAAATAAAGGCAAGGTTGTAGGTCACAAGTATTATATTGAAAATTATCCGAAGCCTTTTATTAATGTAATATAAAAACAAACGTAGATATCAGGTTCCAAATGTCGAAAATTGTTTGACAATCATCGTTGATTTGATACTTGTCCAATATTATTAATTATTTGACAGAGGAAGACATTAATATAATGTCACATCTACCATATTCGCCAGAAGTGATACTAGGTAATCTATGATTAAGTGATTGTGTCGAACGTAGTTTAACTGATTAAATAAATGAAATATGATGTGCTGCTCATGCGGTTTCCAAAGTAGCTAAAAAAGGTTTTCAGAAAAAGAGTTAAAAAAAAAACTTTTAATTAATTGTTCGAAAAGTTTGATCTTGAAATAAATAATACTGGCAACTATCCTCAACATTTGATAAAATAAAATTAACAATATGTCCAAATCTTTATGCTTTTATTTAATGATGACAGAACTTTTAGTTAGACCCAAGTAATTAAATGATCAATGGAGAGTATACAATGAACAAATTTCTATTCATTGAAAAAATTCAAAGAAAAAAATGTTACCTTTTTTATCGATAAAACGCGTTAAAAATGTGAGTTTAACGAAGTCTCAAGGGTTATTTTACGTTAATCTCATTTTAATGGGAAAAAGCGTACGTGATATTTCATTAAATTCACATTTTTAACATGTTTTAACGATAAACAAGGTAAAATTCTTTCTTTTTTCATTGAAATTGTTAAGTTTATATAAATTGTGACATGGGATATTCGTGTGAAGACAATATTGATGAGCATTTGTACAGATCTCATCGATACATTTTCTTTAACATTTCTCTGAAACTTAATATAAACTGTTTGTATACATAGATATTTACTTTTAAATAGAAAGCGTAAGATGATATCTAAATTTGAATAATTTAATAAATGTTTATATATTCTAGTCGAATATTGATAATGTTTGTTCGTATTGTTATCTTTCCAATAATTGTTATTGTCTTAGTAAATGGATTAATTCCATCATCAACAATTGAAAATGATTTAAATGAATTAATTAAATTACATAAAGAATTTCTTAATCGATCACCAATCATACCTGCTCGTCAAGCTTATGAAGTTCGATGTCGTGCTGTGGTTGAATGTTGTCCAGATGAACAAGAAAATATTTTTACTTTATTTAGTGAAGGTCAATTTAATGAAAAATGTTTATCTAATGGAACAAAAACGAATACATCATCTCTTTCATTATTATGTATGTCAACACTTCGTCAATTAATTCAATTAACAAAAGAACCAATTTATAATCGATATTTTCAAGTTCTTGGTAATAATACAAATCGTTTTAATCGAATAAAAACATGGAAAAAACAAATGAAAATGGTTTGTTCAAATGATGAACTTTATGCTTTTTATTGTGAAAGAAATAATATTGAAAAATTTAAATCATGTCAAAGAAAAGTTTTAAAAATGATTGCCAAAGAAAATATTGATGATGATGGAATTATTTATACAACATATGTTTCACGATGGGAACAAGAATATGCTATTGATAATCAGAAACTTGCAAAAGCTTTTCCCAATATTTAATTTCATTTACTTTTTTTTCTTTCTTTATTAAATAATAATAATAATTACATTTTATTAAACAAATAATTCTTTAGATTTTCACTTGAACCTGAGATAATGGCAGGTTGGCTCGGATGGAATCAATTATTGAGTAAAGTTCAGAATTTCGATAATATCTATGCCTTTTTTGAATTGAGGTACACTTTCAGGCTCTATGTGTATGTCACTGTCCAAATCGAGATAACGTCCAATCTCAGATTGGCCTAGGAGAATGTGAGATCCGAGATTGGACGCATCCATATTCAGACCAGACATTCAACAGACGTTTGTTGAGGCCATTCTCGGATAAAATATAAAACACAGGTTCATTCTAGGATTACACTGAAATAGTCAGGCGAATCTTAGATTGGACTAGGCAAATGTCAGAATGAATTGTGAACTTCATGAATTCATTGTGATACAGAGAGAGGATACTTCATTCCATACAATCTAACGAGTAAAAGATGGATTGGAAGAGTCGGGAAGAAAAACTCACCTAAAGTCACCGTAAAAAATAGTTATATAAAATTAAGATTTTATGGTTTGTTTCAACGTGTTGTTTTTATCACTATGAGTGCCAACTTATTGGCAACTAATCTTCCATCGACACAAAAAATAACCGTTGAAATTGACAATGTAATCGTTGATGAAAATGATACTATCATTAGTAATGATGGGGAGAAAGTTGTCAATGATGACGACGACCGTTACAATCAAGGAAAAACATTCTATTTCAAAGTCAATTAGCGCCGTGCCGGATTGAAATATCCACAAAAAATAATGTTTTTATTGGAGTATTATCATAGGATTATTCTTGCTTTAAAGCATACGGGAGGTGGCAAGAGAAGTGGTATTGATGGCAAATTTCATAGGTGGTGTAAACATCATTTCAAAATTGATAATACTTTTCGAGTTCGGATGTTGTGCTCAACCAAGATCAATCAATGAATTGGTTTTGTGCAGTCATATTACAGAATTTTGAAGGACGTTCATGAAAAACTGGTCATGGATCTCGGAATAAAATGAGACATGAAGTTGGTCAACATTACTGTTTGATCAGAATAAAACTTTCAGGCATTATCTTTAACATCGAGTACAGAGTAGCGCGTATTCATTCCAATACTGGCCTAGGCCAATCCGAGATTGGTCGTGCAAATCTTTCATTCTAACATTTGCCTAGTTCAATCTAAGATATGCCTGACTATTTCAGTCCAATCCTAGAATAGACCTGTGTTTTATATTTTATCTGAAAATGGCCTCGACAAACGTCTGTTCTAATGTCGGGTCTGAGTATGGATGCATCCAAACTCGGATCCCACATTCGCCTAGGCCAATCTGAGATTGGACGTTATCTCAGTTTAGACGCTGACATTTACATCGAACTACAATCTTAAGAAGTATCTCAACCGACAACTAATCAAATCGATTGAAGTTTTTTGAATAAACTCACAATTCTATCCAACCCACACGACACTTCTGATGAAAACTTCTGCTCACTCGATGGGTTATAGATTGAGGCGTTTTTGTTGAACCTGTACATTGGTATCGAAATTAAGGATGAAAATACATATGAACTTAAAATGCATCGATTCGGACGAAGTATTGAAATTTACTCATGAAATCGTTGAACCTAAAGTAGAAATAAATATAAGTCTTCAATTTAACAATGTGAACTAGCAAATTATTAACTATGAATTCAAGCATAATTACAATAGCATATATTAAACTAAATCTTCAGATTATCCAAGACAGAAAATTTCTATGATTATTACTGATTGAACTTGCCTCCAAAGTTAAAGTCCCTATCATGAGTATTAAACCACGCGCAGAATATTTACTAAAAACCGAGAAAAAGATCTTCAATTCGACATTCAAATCCTTGATATATATGATTTCTATGATTATCATCGAATTATCAAATCATATTCGAAAAAAACCTTGTCATCAATCCAATCCTCTTTCAAAAATTTTCCTACAAATTATACAATCAAGAAATATTCATTCCATAATAATTAAACAGCAGGACAAGTAAACAGTCCAACATGCCTTTCATATTTACCCAATGTTCCACAAACTGCAAAAACTAAATAACAATTGACTTTTAAAAGAGACATCCAAAATAATACTACAATTTGATATTAAAAAAAAATTGAACTCGTAGTCAATGGTGTTCTATAGAAGTCAATAAGCTCTACAAGATGTACACCTTCCGATGAAATAAAAACTCATTTTTCCTAGAGATAAGTGCATAGTGCTAAATTTGCACTGTAGCAAAAAATAAGCATTTAACTAAAATCAACTATCTGTTAAATTCAAGTTTAATATGTTTAGTGCAAAATTTGATGAGTAAAAGCATATTCATTGAATAATTGTGAAATTTACAATGGATGAGTACTGGAATGATTATCCTTGTTTTTCACTTTAGAGTTTGTCTGCTGTAGATTGAATATCTCGCCAAGAGAACGATTTTCGAAGCTGAAAATTTTTGGTGCTTTCATATCTCACTTGATGCTACGTACAAACAAAATTTCATTGAAATCGGTGACATTAGTTAAGTACGTAATCCACATTTGAGGTATCTCTATCGTGTAATGACTCATATAGATTTCTCAGAGTCACTCAGCAATTCCTGGAGACCAGTTTTATAACTTTCACAGGAATCGATTAGAAATTTTACATGTTCCGCAGAACATTCAGATAGTCTGTAAATGAAAATCGACTGATGTAAACATGTCTATTTATCGAATGAAGCGAGGATATTTTCAAAGGCGAATTCAATAATAACAGAATCAATGAAAACAAATGAAGAACAAGTTTACAAAAAAATAAAAAACGAAATGTTAACCGATAGAAAGGTCGAACCTGTTTGATTTAAATGTAAATTTTCCATTACATTGACGTATTTTTGAACTTTTCTTCAAGATGAAAAAGCCTCAAGG